AACAAACAAACAAAAAACACATTTATTTTAAAGTTTTAGGCTATAGGGAGATTATTTTACTTGGACTATTGCATTAGCTTTTTAGGACCGTCATAACAAAGTACCACAATATAGGTGGCTGAAAACAATAATCATTTATTGTCTCATAATTCTGTAAGCTAGAAGCCTGAAATCAAGGTGTTGGCAAAATTGGTTCCTTCTGAAAAGTTCTGACTTAAGGTCTGTTTCACTCTCTCTTCTGGTTTCTGGTGGTTGCCAGCAATTCTTGGTATTTCTTGACTTGTGCATGCATTACCCCCTGTCTGTCTCTGTCATTACATGGCCTTCTTCCCTATATTTCTTTATGTCTGTCTGTGTCTATATTCTCTTTCTTATAAAGAAACCAGTCATTGAACTAGGGCCCATACCATTTCAATATGACCCTATTTTAAAATTATAGCATCTGCAAATAATCTGTTTCCAAATAAGGTCACATTCACAAGTACTGGGATTAGGATTTAATTTTGGAGTCACAGTTCAACACATAATGACTATAAACAATCAGAACTATGTTTTTTTATAAAAAGAACAATGTTATATAAAATAAACAATTTTTAATAAGAACTATGTTATATAAAATAAATTCTTAATTCAGCATAAACTGTACATACTTTCCACCTAAATGCACACCTGTATGGGAAAACAAAATTTAGTCACATGATAGCTGAGTATTAGATCAGAAAAATAAAGTTAGATGATTAAAATATTTAACACAGTCAAGCTAATATAATGGGCATATGCATTTATTTTTTGTTACAGGAAGGTATACCAATGGAATTGGCAATTTAACTTGCCCAGACTTCCTATCTTAGGAATTGAACTTCTACTTAAGTGGAAAAGAGACTTATGCCTTAAAGATTCATCTATAGCTCAGTTTACATAGGCAACGAATTCTCCTTTCATTGACAGACTCTATAGCTATATTGATGAATTTAGTCCAAACAAAGTAAAAGCCTCTGACTTTACATCCCTTAGGTTATTTTACAATGCTTAAGTCTCAGAAGGCATTATTTCTTAGTTTTATGTATTTATAAAGGGTTATATATATAAAACTAAGAGGATTATATTTTTGTATAATATAGCCCTCTTTCCAATTATCCCCATGTACTGAGAATATATGTGTGTGTGTTTATAGATATATACATATATATTTTATTTATATGTGTGTGTGTGTATATATATATATACACACACAAACACACACATACACACACACACACACACACATATATATATATATATATATATATATATATATATGCAAGACTATATATACAATGTCCTATTTGGAGAACCATTAAAGTATTTTTCTACCCATTCTTTCACTTCAGTGATATACAATTTATTCTGTTATACACACAGAAACATACACATACAAATACAAATATATGTGTGTATATGTACATATATATATACACATACATATGTTTTAATAATCAGAGTTACAATTTATTTTGAACATATTATTTTCCAGAAATAATTTGCACATTTTCTGCATGCAAAATGTGTCATCTCAGCTTATCTAACTCCTGATTAATATTTAAGGTCAGGTGGAAATGCAAACTTTTCCAAGAAAGTTTTAGATAAAGTTGAAAATAATAGTCTCTTCATCTACACTCACATAGCCTTTTGTTTATAATATTAAACACCATATTACATTATACTATTAATAGTCATCTGTGTATTTATTCATCTCCTTCAGAAGACTCTAAAGGTCATTAGAAACTTGCTAATTCATTTACTAATTATTTAAAGAAATTTGGGGAGAATATCAAGAACAACCCTCTACTTGTTTCCATCCACCATTCACAATTTACTTGCTTAATTGTTCTTTCACAGTGTACGTATATACTGGTATCAGAATTGTTAAGCCATACATCCATGAGAAACAACTTTATTAACTGAAGCACTGTGCTTGTATACACTTTCTTTCACCTTTAATTTTGCAGTCTCCTCTCATTTCTGAAATTACTTATTTAAGCACATTTTTTCCACCCACTTCAGTGAGGTTTTTTCATACATTTTCAATACAGTTGTAAAATTTTGTCACATTGTGCATTCCAAGCTGCAATCCCTCTACTTCCTAAAGGATAGTGCTTTTCTTTTAAATTGCATAAATTAATGTTTCTTCTTCATGCTCAAAAATTCTATGGATTTTGAGAAATGCATAATGTTATGTCCACCATTACAATATCACATAAAATAGTGTCAATATAGTAAAAAAAAAAAAAAAAAAATTGTGTTTCACATCCTCTCCCCTGACCTCTGGAAGCACTAATCTTTTTTTATTATATTGTTTTGCCTTTTTTTTACCATGTCATAGAGTTAGAATAATATCGTATGTGGCACTTGCAGACTAATTTCTTGCACAGAGCAATAAATATTGAATATTCATGTATTTATTCCTGTGGATTTATATTTCTTTTTTTCTGGGTTTACCCCAGTTTATCAATTCACCTATTCAAGGTTGAAGGCCATGTAGGTTGCTGTCAGTTTTTGATAATTATGAAAAAGAGCTCTGATAAACATTCACATTTTCATGTGATATAAATTGTCAAATCATTGGGATAAATACATAGAAGCATGATGGCTGAAGAACATGGTGAGATGATGTCTAGGTTTACAGGAAACCGCCAACCTGTCTTCCAGTGTGCCAATACCATTTTTAAGCTTCTTTCAGCAAACAGCTACTGTTGCTCTACATTTTCACCAGAATTTGGAAAACTTAGGTTCATGGATTTAAGCCATTCTAATTTATGTGTGGTAGTATCACAATTGTTTGTGTTTCTCCAAAGGAAAAAAAAATGCTGTTGAGCATATTTTTATATGCTAGTTGTCATGAGTATTTCAGGGGCGGCGGTGAGGTGTCTTTTCAGAGTCTATACACATTTGTAATTGGCTTGCTGGCTTTCCTATTATTCAGTTTTTAGAGTTATTTGTATGTTTTGATACCAATACTTTATTAGCTATATGTTTTACAGATATTTTCTCCTAGTTTGAGGCTTGTCTTTTAATTCTCTGAAAAAGAGTCTTTCACAGAGCAGAAAATTCAATTTTTATTTTAACAAACTCTAACATATTTTTCTTTTGTAGTGACAAATTTTGATATTAATATTATATCTAAAAATCTATCATCAAACCCAGTGTCACTCATAACATGTAAAGTATGCTTTCTTTTTAAGTATTCTAGTGGTTTCCTCAGACTATCCAATACACATTTGTTACTAATCTAAGATCACCTTCAAAGAGCACTCCAGCACTTCACATATCGTGCAGGTACTTCAATAGAATAGTCTCAATTTATCCTTCCCATCTTTTGTAACATTGCCATCAGTCATTTCACTTACCCACATGCTGTAATTGCCCAAAACATTTACTATACTACTTTGAAAAAACATATAGCTTAAACAAATTCAGAATAAGAAAAATAAACATTTTATTCTGCTGTCATTTTTTTTTTTTCATTTTTCAACACAGTTGCTTTCTTACTGTAAATGCAAGTTTCTGACCTATATCATTCTCCTTCTTCGTGAATAGCCTCTTTTAACATATTTGCAGGAAAGTTTTCCGGCAATACATTCCCTTAGTGTTTCATTGTCTGATAAGTGCTGATTTCTCCTTGAAGTATAATTTTGCTAGATACAGAATTCTAAGTCGGTGCATTTATTCCTTTAACACTTTAAACATTTCCCTCTACACTTTTTACTTGCCTAGTTTCTTTCTGAAAGTTGACTGAAATCCTTGCCCTTTTTTCTCTATGAGTAATGTTGTTTTCCTTCCAGCTTCTCTCAAGATTTTCTCTTTATTGATTGATTGATTGATTTTATTTTATTTTATTCTGCAGATAGAAAATGCTATGTCTGGGTGCTGTATTTTTGTTGTTTGCCATGAATGATATTCTCTGAGCTTCCTAGATTCGTGGTTTGTTCCATGTTATTATGCTTTAAAATCTCTTGACTATTACTCATTTAGATATATTCTCCTCATTTCTCTCTCTTCCTTCTCATATTTCAATTACCCATTTTGTACAACTTTAGAAATAGCTGAGTGGCTCTTTGATGTTCTTTTCTGTTGTTTATTTGTTTGCTTGTTTGTTTCATTTATTTTCTCTTGGCACTTTGTTTTAAAATGTACTTTTGACCTATCTTTGGATTCACTAATTCTTTTCCCAATCATGTCTGGTTTACTGATGAAACAACTGCAGCATTTTTTTTAATATGGAATTATTTTAATTTCTAGTATTTTCCTTTGTTTTTTTCTTAGAATTTTCATTTGTTCTTACATTGATCATCTCTTCTTGCATATTTTCTACACTTTCCGACTAGTGTCCTTAACATCTTAATCATAGTTAGGTGAAATTTCTTAATTGCTATTTCCAAAATATGCATCAGCACTGAGTCTTGTTCAAATTATCATACTCTCTCTTCAGATTGTGATTTTTTTTCCTTGCCTTTTACCATGTTTTATTACTTTGTTGCCATTGTTGAGAGCCAGACATGTTGTATACTTAATAGATATTGAGATAAATTGATGCTGAGATAAATTGATAATGAGATAAAGTTAATGTGAGAATATTTGCTAATCTGTCTAGGAGTCTGACTATATTTAATATTTGTTATGGCTCAGATGTCTCTAGTGTCCTTGTTTTTGTCTCCTCCTTTAATTTTGGGTTTCCTCAAGTACTCATCTTCAAACAGTGTCTGTTTCTTGTAGCTCTTTTGTCTATCCCCTTATGCTGGAGTTAGATTGGTTTAAATTTTATGATATGAGCAGAAAAAAAAAAATGTTCTATAGTGTTCTGATTGAATATCAGTCTTTCAGTGGGCCCATGTCTTAGGTTGTGGCTTTTACAAGTGTTTTGCCAGTAGTATACCTTTTGTTCCTATTACAGGACTGCCAGATTCATATGCCCACTGAGCAGCAATAGACTAATACACTGAGATTTGCAGCAAAAAAAAAAAAAAAAAAGAGTTTAATAATCACAAGGCCGTTGGGCAAAGAGATGGAAGGAATCCTCAAGCTTCAAATCTGTCTGTTGGAGGGATTCTGGACAAGGGTTTTTGAGGGGATCGTGGAGGGTGAGGGTCTGGAGAATTGGGGTTGTTGGTCAGGGTAAGGAAGATTAAATCATCAGGATATGAAAACTACATTCTTCCATGAGTCGGCTCTTTGCTGGGCCCTTCAGACCAACTGGCATCAATAGTTTTACCAGTATGCGTTGCATAAAGGAGAAACTCAAACAGAAATCATATCATCTCATCTCACATGCCTTAGATTTTATCTATAGAAAAGAAAAGGAACCCAACACAGTCTCATTACAAAGGCTACACTATTCTGGGGGAATAAGCAGCAACTAATTACAAGGATGTAGGCCAAATTTGGAATTGGATTCCATTATTGCCACTGATTATTCTGAACGCCTAGTTGAATTTCGTTTTCTCCCTGAATTGGCCTATAAACTTTTCTATGGGACAGTTTCATCTTTCATCCCCTTTAGATGAGAAAAAAAGGTTAAATGGGTAGGGAGCAAGATGACCAATTAGAAACATGTATACTCTGTGACTCCCACTGAGAAGAATAAAAATGGTGAGTGAATTCTGCACCTTCTTCTGAAATATCCAGATTCTCTCATTAGGAATGACAAGGTGATTGACGTGGCCCACAGAAAACAAGGAAAAGCATGGTGGAGCAATGGCTCACCTGAGAGCTACACCAAGGGAGGCAGTGCATAATTGTGCTACCTTTCCAGAGAAACCATGCTTTTTCCATGAAACTGTGCAACCCACAGATCAGGAGGTCTTCTTATGAGTCCATGCCACCAGGGCCTTGGGTCCCAAGCACAGAGCTGTGCAGACTTTCATCACTGCTCACTCAGGTTGCGGCCAGTGGCAGCAGACTGGAGACTGCCTAAGATGGCTGAATTCCTGGGGAAGGTGCAGTTGCTGTCACCGTTTCTCCAGTTGGCTGTTTTCCCTTGCTGGTGCTGGGGAGACATGGTGGCTTAGACTGGGAGCACAGTAGCTGTGGCAGATCATGGCCAGACTGTTTATTTAGGGAGAACTTGGATCCATCCCTACTCATTGGGCGAGGCCTCTCTGTGGTAATTTCACCAACTCCTGCCAGAGGTTTATGGACAGAACTCTGATCTTCCTGAGGCAGAGCCCCTGTGGGGAGGGATAGCCACAGTCTCTGTGGTTCAGCAGACTTAAGTCTTTCCTGCCTGCTGGCTCTGAAGGTACTGGACAGTCTGGACAAGGGATATTCCCTCTAGTGCAGTGCACCCTCTCTGCCAAAGGGCAGCCAGAGTGCTTTGTTAAGTGGGTCCCTGATCCTGTACATACTTCCTCACTGAGTGAGACCCCCAACAGGGGATCTCCAGGCACTTTATACAAGAGCATTCCTCTGGCATCAGGTCAGTGCCCCTCTGGGATGGAGCTCCCAGAGAAGGAGCAGGCAGCCATCCTTGCTGTTCTTCAGCTTCCACTGGTGACACCTCCAGGTGGGGGAGAGACCAAGTGAATAGGGTCTGGAGTGGACCCCCAGCAAACTGCAGCAGCCCTAAGGAAGAAGGGTCTGACTGTTAAGGGAAAAGCAAACAGAAAGCAATAACAACATCATCCACAAAAAGGAGCCCACAAAAAACCCTTCCAAGGGTCAGCAGCCTCAAAGATTGAAGATAGATAAACTCATGAAGATGAGAAAGAATCAATGCAAAAATGCTGAAAACTCAAAAAGCCAAAGTGAATCTTCTCCTCCAAATGACTGCAACACCTCTCCAACAAGGACACAGAACTGGGTGGAGTCTTGAGATGGAGGAACTGACAGAAGTAGGCTTCAGAAATTGGGTAAAAACAAACTTTGCTGAGCTAAAGTATCTTCTACAACAATGCAAAGAAGCATGAAAAACATTATAGAAGCTGTTAACTGGAATAACCGTTTTAGAGAGGAACATAAATGACCTGATGGACCTGAAAAACAATACAACCACAAGTATCAATAACCGAATAGACCAAGCAGAGGAAAGAATCTCAGAGCTTGAAGACTATCTTGCTGAAATAAGAAAGGCAGATGAAATTAGATAAAAAAATAAAAACTAATGAAGAAAAGATCAGAGAACTATGGAATTATGTAAAAAGATCAAACATACAACTGATTGGGGTACCTGAAAGAAATGAGGAGAATGGAACCAATTTGGAAAACATACTTCAGGAAATCATTCAGGAGAACTTCCTGAACCCAGTAAGACAGGCCAACATTCAAATTAGGAAATTCAGAGAACTTCAGTAAGATGCTTCATGAGAAGATCAACCCAAGACACAAAATCATCAGAGCTTGCAAGGTCAAAATGAAGGAAAAATGTTAAGGCAGTCAGAGAGAAAGACCAGGTCACCTACAAAGGGAAGGCCATCAGAGTAACAGGGGATTTCTCAGCAAAAACTCTATAAGCCAGAAGAAATTGGGGGCCAATATTCAAAGCTCTTAAAGAAAATATTTCCAGCTCAGAATTTCATATCCAGCCAAACTAAGCTTCATAAGCAAAGGAGAAATAAAATATTTTTCAGACAAGCAGATACTGAAGGAATTCATCACCACCAAACCTGCCTTGCAAGAGCTCCTGACAGAAGCACTGAATATAAAAAGGAAAAACTATTATGAGTTACTATAAAAACACAGTGAAGTACACAGACCAATGATTCTATGAAGCAACTACATCAACAAGTCTGCAAAATAACCAGATAGTATCAAATGACAGGACCAAATTCACACATAACACTATTAACCCTATATGTAAATGGACTGAATGTCCCAATTTAAAGACACATATTGGCAAGCTGGATGAATAAGCAAGACCCATCAGTGCATGATATTCAAGCGAACCATCTCATATGCAAAGACACACATAGGCTCAAAATAAAAAGATGGAGAAAAATTTACCAAGCAAATGGAAAGCAGAAAAAGGAGGGGTTGCAATTCTAGTTTCTGATAAAACAGGCCTTTAACCAACAAAGATCAAAAAAGATAGAGAAGGGCATTACATAATGGTGATGTGTTCGAATCAACAAGAAGAGGTTACTATTCTAAATATACATGCACCCAATACTAGAGCAACCAGATTCATAAAACAGGTTCTTAGAGACCTATGAAGAGATTTAGACTCTCACATAATAATAATGGAGACTTTAACGCCCCACTGTCAATATTAGACAAATTATCGAGACAGAAAATTAAAAAGGATACAGTATTCAGGACTCAAACTCAGCTCTAGATCAAGTGGACCTGATAAATATCTACAGAACTCTTCACCCCAGGCCGGGCGCGGTGGCTCAAGCCTGTAATCCCAGCACTTTGGGAGGCCGAGGTGGGTGGATCACGAGGTCAAGAGATAGAGACCCACCTGGTCAACATGGTGAAACCCCGTCTCTACTAAAAATACAAAAAATTAGCTGGGCATGGTGGTGCGTGCCTGTAATCCCAGCTACTCAGGAGGCTGAGGCAGGAGAATTGCCTGAACCCAGGAGGCGGAGGTTGCGGTGAGCCGAGATCGCGCCATTGCACTCCAGCCTGGGTAACAAGAGCGAAACTCCGTCTAAAAAAAAAAAAAAAAAAAAAAAAAAAAGAACTCTTCACCCCAAATCAGCAGAATATACATTCTTCTCCACACCACATTGTACTTATTCTAAAATTGACCACATAATTGGAAGTAAACCACTCCTCAGCAAATGCAAAATAACTAAAATCATAAGAGTCTCTCAGATCACAGTGCAATCAAATTAGAACTCAAGATTAAGAAACTCACTCAAACCACACAACTATATGGAAATTGAACAACCTGCTTCTGAATGACTCCTGGGTAAATAATGAAATTAAAGCAGGAATCAAAAAGTTAGTTGAAACTAATAAAAACAAAGAAATAAGGTACCAGAATCTCTGGGATACAGCTAAAACAGCATTAAGGGAACTTTATAGCACTAAATGTCCACATCAGAAAGTTAGAAAGATCTCAAATCAGCATCCTGACATCAAAACTTGAAGAACTAGAGAACCAAGAGCAAACAAACACCAAAGCTAGCAGAAGACAAAAACTAAATAAGACAAGAGAGAAGATCAAATAGACACAATAAAAAATGATAAAGGGATGTCACCACTGACCCTATAGAAATATAAACCATCACTGAATACTAAAAATGGCTCTATGTAAATAAACTAGAAAATCTAGAAGAAATTGATAAATTCCTAGATATATAAACCCTCCCAAGACTGAACCAGGAAGAAGATGAATCTCCGAATAGACCAATAACAAGTTCTGAAATTGAGGCAGTAATATATAGCCTACCGACCAACAAAAGACCAGAACCAAATGGAATTACAGTGGAATTCTACCAAAGGTACAAAGAGGAGCCATTGCCACTTCTTCTGAAACTATTCCAAACAATTGAGGAGGAGAGACTCCTTTCTATCTTATTTTATGAGGTAGAAATCCTGATACCAAAGCCTCGTAGAGATACAACAAAGCCTGATAACAAAGCCTGGCAGAGATACAACAAAACAAGAAAACTTTAGGCCAATACCCCTGATGAACATTGATGCAAAAATCCTCAATAAAATACTGGCACACCGAATCCAGCAGCACATTGAAGAGCTTATCCATCACAGTCAAGTTGGCTTCATCCCTGGGATACAAGGCTGGTTCAACATAACGCAAATCAATAAATGTAATTCATCACATAAACAGAACTAAAGAAAAAAACCACATGATTATCTCAATAGATGCCGAAAGGCCTTTCAACGCCCCTTCATGTTAAAATTCAATGGCTCTTCATGTTAAAAACTCTCAATAGACTAGGTATTGAAGGAACATACCTCAAAATACTAAGAATCATTTATGACAAACCAACATCCGGTATCATACTGAATGAAAAAAAGCTGTAAATATTTTCACTGAAAACAGACACAAGACAAGGATGCCCTCTCTCACCATTCCTATAACATAGTATTGCGAGTTCTGACCAGGGCAATCAAGCAAGAGAAAGAGACAAATGGTATTCAAGTAGGAAAAGAGGAAGCCAAATTGTCTCTGCAGATGACATGATCCTATATCTAGAAAATCCCATTGTCTCAGCCCCAAAGCATTTTAAGCGATAAGGAACTTCAGCAAAGTCTCAGGATACAAATCAATGTGCAAAAATCATAAGCATTCCTATATACTAACAACAGACAAGCAGAGAGCCAAATCATGAATGAAGTTCAAATCCACAGTTGTTACAAAGAGAATAAAATACCTAGGAATACAGCTAAGAAGGGAAGTTTTGAATGACCCCTTCAAGGAGAACTACAAATCACTGCCCAAGGAAATCAGAGAGGACACAAACAGAAGAACATTTCATGCTCATAGATAGGAAGAATCAATATTGTTAAAATAGCCATACTGCCCAAGTAATTTACAGATTCAATGTTATTCCCCTTATACTACTGCTGACATTCTTCACAAAATTAGAAGAAACTATTTTAAAATTCATATAAACAAAAAGAGTCTGTATAGCCAAGACAATATTAAACAAAAAGAGCAAACCTGTAGTCATCATGCTACCTGACTTCAAACTACACTATAAGGCTACCAAACCATCATGTGACCAACACAGAATGGTGCTGGTACAAAAACAGACATAAAGACCAATAAAACAGGACTGAGAATGCAGAAATAAGACCACACAGCTACAGCCATCCGATCTTCAACAAATCTGACAAAAAAAAGCAATAGGGAAATCATTTTCTATTTAATAAATGATGCTATAAGAACTGGGTAGCTATATGCAGAAAATTTAAACTGAGACCTTTCCTTACACCTTACAAAAATTAACACACGATAGGTTAAAGACTTAAATGTAAAACCCAAAACTGTAAAAATCCTAGAAGAAAATCTAGGCAATACCATTCAGGACATAGGCATAGGCAAAGATTTCATGACAAAAATGCCAAAAACAATAGCAACAAAAGCAAAAATTAACAAATGGAATCTAATTAGACTAAAGAGCTTCTGCACAACAAAAGAAACTGTCATCAAAGTGAACAGACAATCTACAGAATGAGAGAAAAACTTTGCAATCTATCTACCTGAATGGGCTAATATCCAGAATTTACAAGGAACTTAAACAAAATTACAGGAAAAAAACAAACAACCCTATTAAAAAGTAATCTAAGGACATGAACAGACACTTCTCAAAAGAAGAAATTTACGTGGCCAACAAACATACCAAAAAAAAGCTCAACATCACTAATCATTAGAGAAACACAAATCAAAAGCACGATGAGATACCATCTCACACTAGTTAGAATGGCGATTATTAAAAAGCCAAGAAACAATGGATGCTATTGAGGCTGCAGAGAACTGGAAATGCTTTTACACTGTTGGTGGTAATGTAAATTAGTTCAAACATTGTGGAAGACTGTGGCAATTCCTCAAAGTCCTAGAACCAGAAATATCATTTGATCCAGCAATCCCATTTCTGGGTATGTACCCAAAGGAATAGAAAGCATTCTATTATAAAGACACATGCACGTGTATGTTCATTGCAGCACTATTCACAATAGCAAATACATGAAATCAACCCAAATGCCCATAAATGATAGACTGGCTAAACAAGATGTGGTACATATACAGCACGGAATACTATGCAACCATAAAAGGGAATGAGATTAAGTACTTTGCAGAAACATGGGTGGAGCTGAAAGCCATTATCCTTAGCAAACTAATGCTGGAACAGAAAATCAAACATTGTGTGTTCTTACTCATAAATGTGAGCTGAACAATGAGAACACATACACACAGGGAGAGGAACAATGCACACTGAGGCCTGTTGGCAGGGATGAGGAGTGGGAGAGCCTCAGGAAAAATAGCTCATGCATGCTAGGCTTAATAGATAGGTGATAGGCTAATAGGTGCAGCAAATTCACCATGGTGCACATTTACTTATGTAACAAACCTGTACATCCTGAATATGTACCCCTGAACTTAACATAAAATAAAATAAAGAATTGGAGAATGTATCCCTTGGGTGCGGGTAGGGGAGAAGATAAATGAATCAATGCCCTTCTTCTGGGTGTAATAAGGCTCTGGCTCATTTTCCCTAAAAGGTATGTTTTTGTTTTGAAGAAGGCTCTTGTATTTCACTATGATTACTCTTCCTCGATCTCTGCCAATTTTAAAAATATTTTTCTCAACTTTTCACCATTAGAACCCAATGGGTTCGTGGATATCAAACTCATGCAAGTCTGAAGTATGCAAGAAATTATCCCCATGAGCTTCTTCCCTCACACTAATCCATACTTGGCCTCCACAAATTAGTCAGAATTACCACTGAAGTGTCCACACAAGTTATAGCTCTAGCCACTTCTGCTTCAGGAAGTAGATCTTAGCGATGGCTCTCAGGTGTGCCAGTTTCTCTCAATTTTATGGTGATGTTTGTCCTGCTTTCTCAGTTTTCTGATATACCTAATAAAAGTCATTGATTTTCAATCTGTATAGGTATATTTTTTATTGTAAGGCCAGTAGTGACAACTTCTGAGCCCTTCACATGTTGATAATAAATCCAAAAGTCCTGTAATGTATTTGTTTTCTCATTTTTTAAAACTAAATATTTGAAGCTATTTTATTAAGAGTTTTTCTTTCCTCAAAAGGTAACTGCATTAAATATAATCTAGGTAAAATATATATATATATACATATATACATACACACACACACACACACACACACACACACACACACAGAGCTAGTGCTCGACTTACGACCACGATTGTTCCGACAGACTGGTCGTAACACGATTTGGTCATAAGTTGAGTTTGCTGTACCGAGTCTGGAATAACAGTTGAAATGGTGCACGCGGAGATGGTAATGCTGCCAGAAGCTCGTCCGCACAGTCGTAACGCCCAACTGGGCAACATTTGCGCTGCCAGACGCGGAGCAGTCGTGGCTAGCGATTGTGGTCGTAAAGTCGAATGGTCGTAAGTCAATCAATATCTGTATATATGTGTGTGTGTGTGTGTGTGTGTGTGTGTGTGTGTATATATATATTTATAAAATCTAGGTGATCTACAGTCATGAGAAATATATTTTATTGTATATAATCAGAGCCAAAGGCCTGAAAACATTTGGACTTTATCTCAGATGAGTAATAAGAGATCTTACTATCAGTTAAAATTAAAGTGTTGGTTCTTTTTTAAAGCTGACATAACTTTAATTTACAACATAAACTCAGGATTGAAAAAGCATTAAGTAACTCATGATCTATAAATAAAATTTCAAGATTTAAAACAAGTAATAAGGATTCCCCATGTTTGTATGTTTAATTCATCAATATTTTTAAAATATTTAAACCAACAAAGAAGTGTGTTCAGGTTTTTATTTACTTTAAAAGTGACGTATGAATTTTTCTCACAAAGGAGGCTGATTGTAGAGGAGTTTGGACCTATATCATGGCTCCAAGTTAGCATCACAGTTCCTGGTCCTTCCATCTTTCTGCTCAGTCATATTTAACTTGTGTTCATTTCTTCATGATCAGAATATGTGTCTTTCTCAACCATCTTATATATGTTCTAGGTAGAAAGAAGAAAAATAAAAGTTTAGGTTGTTCTGTCAAATTATAGAAAGTTTATTTGATAAAAAGTCAACTGCTAAAAAGTACCCCTTAAAAATAGAATGAGTATACAATATTAAAAGAAAGCATTGGACTTTGTACAATTGCAAATACTATTAAGAATTTAGTAAATTTTTGAATTTTGATCCGTGCTTTCATTGATTAATTCAGTCAAAATTTGTTTCAAAAACAAATAGTTTTCAGAATATGTAAGTGCCTTAGGAGAGTGCAACCTATAAGTAAAATAATTCTGAATATCCATCTGAAATAAAGCTTTAAAAGCTTACAGCCGGGCATGGTGGCTCAAGCCTGTAATCCCAGCACTTTGGGAGGCCAAGGCGGGTGGATCATGAGGTCAAGAGATCGAGACCATCCTGGTCAACATGGTGAAACCCCGTCTCTACTAAAAATACAAAAAATTAGCTGGGCATGGTGGTGTGTGCCTGTGATCCCAGCTACTCAGGAGGCTGAGGCAGGAGAATTGCCTGAACCCAGGAGGCGGAGGTTGCGGTGAGCCGAGATCGCACCATTGCACTCCAACCTGGGTAACAAGAGCGAAACTCCATCTCAAAAAAAAAAAAAAAAAGCTTATGAAAACCTACTTTCCTTATTATTTCTTGTAATCAACGTATTTCTCAATGGAAAAATTTGCCATTTGCCATCAAAATATATTGTCTGAAACTTTCACTGTAACCTTCATACATCAAAATATTTAAGCAACCTGAGGAGATGCAAAGTTTAGAAAGCAGAATAAAATGTATTTTAATATTTAATAGTTATAAATAATATTTGAGAGATTATAAAGATGTTCTTAGTTCAATTCATAGAGTAAGATTTATATATCTATTAAGAGTGCTGGGCTGGACCAGGTGGATTACACCTATAACCCCGGCATTTTGGAAGCCCAAGGTGGGAAGATCACTTGCAGTCAAGAATTAAGACCAGCCTTGCCAACATGGTGAAACCCCATCTCTACTAAAAATACAAAAATTCATGGAGCATGGTGGTGCACTCCTGTAATCCCAGCTACTGGGGAGGCTAAGGAAGGAGAATCACTTACACGCTGGAGGCAGAGGTTGCAGTGAGCCGAGATCTGCATTCTGGAATGGGCACTGCATTCCAGCCTGGGCAACACAATGAAACTCCATCTCAAAACAAAACAAAAGAAACAAAAAATGCTTGCAACAAATTACAATTCAATATTAAATGTTTTTATGTTGAAATATGGTTAAGAATTAAAACTTTGATTTTTTAACTGAGAAATTTAATTGAGATACATGAAATTACTGGAAAGCAAAAGGAAATTTTAATGTACTGCAGAGTAGCCTAAGATAGCGTGTGTATGTATTTCTACTAAATGCAAAAGAAAATACCAGATAAAAATGCAATAGACTTCTACATCTATTTGAGGATGGGAAAAGATGAGGTAGACCAAAAAATTTTGCATAATGTTAAATTTATGCAAATCCATGTGATTTCTGAAGGGCAGGGGACACAATAAATCTTGTGATAAGTCAACTAACTGATAGCCAGTTACTGAATCTGCAGATTTCATCTGTGGTATTATCTTTTAGATTATTTGTGTAGTGACTAAAAAATAGTCAATAAATTTAAATAAACTATTTTCTGGTTTAGTAATTGAGGTTGGCGAATTTTGATCACTAATTGTTAACTATTTCCTAATCAATCATCTATCTCGGATTAAACTCTACATACACATTACAAGAAATTTGAGTTAAACACACATTTTATGTTTAATTTTAAACATAAAATTAAATAATATTTAACTTTATGTAAGCATGCACATAATGTTAAAAATCTAGATATTAAAATGAGAAAATGAAACTGTTTTAATTTTTAAGTAAAGGAACTTGTTCCAAAAAATGAAATGTGATTATGCATTGATATGTGATTATTCAATTCTGAATCCTACCCTCAGGTAGTACCTGAACACTGTGCTTTATTAGCTACCAACAAATTGGCTGCACTGCAGGCTAATGATGGTTTAAGGACAGCAGTGTTAATAATAGTGTTCATAGTGTCAGTCTGGAGGGGAGGCATTAATTGACCTTATGAGACTATTAAGACATAAAAGTGTTTTATTTTGAGCATTAAAACGTGATAGAGCTTCAAATGCTCTTGGTGAAGTAGCTATTTACACAATATAAAACTAATTTTCACTCAAGGTTTACTGTAGAGAAAATTCTGTTCCATTAGGCTTCAAAATTGAGAAGAAAACAGAAAGAATAAATCTTAAATACCTTTCTTCCTCACCTTCCTCCTTCACATAGTTTGCCTGCAGATCTAGAGTTACATTCTGACGTACCTCTTGTGTGCATGTCTTTGCAGATCATTTACTTTACATTATTATATTTCCCCTACCACTCAATAGGTGAGAAAAATATTGTTAAATAATGGTAGATGAATATGGATCAGATCATCCCATGAGCTACATTTAATTATTGGTTTTACTTTTTAAAATATTCGGAATGAAATATGTAATAACTTAACATTCTAAAACTTTATTTTTTCAGGAATATTTAGATGTATTCCCCACTTCCTTCTAAAACACTGACCAGAGCAGTTAGAAAAGATGTCTCCCACCATGGAAATGTTAGCCTAGGGTCACAATTCAAGTAACATAAATGCAGATTTAATAGACTTCCAAGGTGCTTTTCCAACTTAAAGTGTTAGGCAAGTACCTTTTTAAAAAGTACATCCATTTGAAATATCTGTAACCACTTTTACTATTTCTGAGAGGGTTTTGCGTGTATGCGCGCCCTCTGTCATCACATGGAAAGTTATTTTGCCTTTTAGAGTAAAATATAAAAAGAAACACACATCATGATATGATGTGGCAGATGTTCCCCAGAAGCCTTAGTAATGTTGATGGCGATGGTATCAGCATACACAGAGTATGCAACTCGCAGCTCTGCTATATGCACTGGTTCTTTTGCTTTCTCTCATGTGTTCTGCTCCACATATTTTAAGAGAGTTTAATGTGGGTGTTCCAATTCAATCCCAGTAGAGTACTATGTATATTATTGTTACTAAATCTTGCCTTCATAATCATTCCTATGTATGTGGCCTATTGAAAAGCAACCATTTATATTTTTAGGAGGATGAATGGGAAGTCACAGATCTAGAACAATAATCAACTTGATCTCATGCTGCTAGCATAGGTATGGATTTTTAATATAATCTCAGGCAGGGAAGTACTTGCAGGCATGTTTTCTCAGTCGGGAGTTGAGGAGAGCATATGCACAATGACAGACACCAGCTACTAGCCTTTGGCTGGTTGAAAGATAAAGTCATTATAAACTTGGATTTTAAACCAAATGTAGTGCTGGCTGCTGTCTGGACCTACTTAAAATATACTCTATGTTTTAAAAAGAAGGCTGAGAGTCACAGAAGTAGAACAAATAGATTAGAAAGTAGGCATTTTATATTATCATTTCTCTGTAATAACTGATAATTGATATTCCAAAGATATACTTTGCTTTGAATTCAAATTGTTTATTTTGAATGGTTAGTGAGCTCATCTCTGCACATGCCTAAAAAAGATAAATTTATAAATAAAAGAATAAAAATCAATACTGTATGTAATAAAAATTTAGTTTCTTAGTCCTGATTTCCCTTTTATTATAAAGACCAGAAGCAGAATGTTATCCTATTTTACCTGCAAAAAAGGTCTTTAGAAACTCATTGCCAGCAATCTTCTATGTATGTGTACGTGTATACACACACATACATACATAGATGTCTAATATATATGTCTATTATATATATACACACATATACACATATACATATACATATAATATAGATATATATACATATAAAATATATATAGTCTAATATATATATACACATATATACATATATGTATGTGTGTGTATACATATGTATACATATACATATACATATGTATATGTGTATATGTGTGTGTGTATATATAGAGAGAGATAGAGATAGATAGATATAGATATATGTCTTAAGAACAACCATATAACTCTGGAAACTGCTTAACGTTTTTAGAGATCTGCATTGAGACCCATAAAATTACTTCAAAAACAGTGTTCTGAAAATGTGTTAATTTATATTTTGAGGAGACAATGGAAAATTTCTCATTATGTCCACCAAAGTAAGTAGTACTTATAGGTTTATCTGCACCATAAGCTACTGATTAGCAAGCTTATATTTTAAATAGTAAAATTATATGCATAATTGTAATATATATACATATATGTATATGTATATATTTTTCCATTCTAATTCAGAGATGCAAAATAAAAGCCATTTATACCATCATAAATAATAAAATTTCTTATGAATTTCAAATTTGTATTTTTCAGAACATTGTACAAAGCTGTTTATTAACAGCTGAACTACAATTTACCTTTTTTTGTCAAAATCTGTTCTTTACTTCCTGTTTACACTGCCAAATTGTCAAATGACTTAAAAAAAAAAAGATCTTTTGTTCATATTAAAATTCTACTCTTACATAACTTTCTTCCACAAGTTAAAATACCCACAATGTAAGAAAAAAAAAACATGCCAAAAAATAAGTGAGGCAAATTTTGTAACATTGCGACTCTTAAACAAGTAAGTCATAAGATTATATGAGAATAATTTAATGGTATCCTTAGAAATGTTGTTATACATTTGTATATGGAAACTGGTATGAGCACTATTCTAGAACAGAGATTTTTCAAAACTTAAATATTTAATTTAGCATCTATTTTCAGTAGGTTCAAAACCAACATATGCAGATCTAATGATGTGGAGGATGACGGTAATCATAGGTGCCAGGTAATATATGTATTGATTTTATGATTATCAAAGTTTAGGCATATCAATTATTTAATCCTTACTGTAGCTCTAAAAAGGGCTAAACACAATACCTAGTATACAACAGAACCAAATCAATGTTACTGACTCATTATTATAAAATTATAAT